CACCTTTCTTAACAAACAAAGTATGATCTGACTGGCATTATTTGAATCCCATCTGGTGTACAGCTAAATGAAACCTACCAAACCAGGCCCGAGGTGATTGCTTCAACCCATATAATGATTTTTTTAACTTGCAAACCTTCTGCTCATTACCTTTGGCACAGAAACTTGAAGGTTGAGTCATGTAAACCTCCTCCTCTAGGTCACCATTCAAGAGTGCATTCTTGATATCCAACTGGTGAAATTCTCAGTCAAGGTTAGCTGCCAGTGAAAGGAGGATTCTGATCGAATTCATCTTGGCTATTGGAGCAAAGGTCTCTGCATAGTCTACTCCATACACTTGTGTAAACCCTTTGGCCACCAATCTAGCTTTGTACCTTTCTATTGAACCATTAGCTTTATGTTTTACTGTGAATACCCACTTGCAACCCACTGGTTCCTTCCCTTTAGGAATATCCACAAACTCCCAAGTGCCATTTTTGTGTAAGGCATTAATTCCTTCATTCCTTCATTGCATCTGTCTATTTAGGTTTGGATAAAGCTTCTGCCACATTCTTGGGAACAGAGACACTGTCAATAGAGGAAAGGAATGCACGGTATGAAGGTGAAATATGACCATAGGACACAAAGTGAGAGATAGGATGATTAGTAGTACAAGATCCAACACCCTTTCTCTTAGCAATAGGACCATCAAGATCATTAACAACAAGGGGATCAATGTTAAGAGGTTCAGGCATATCAATGAGAACAAGTGTACATAGCTGATGAGGAGGATCTACCTCTAGAAAGTCTGATGATATTGGTTGCATAGTTTTGGGTTCCATAGTTCTTGAATTCTGTTGGTTCTTATGGTGGTAAAGAAAGACCCGAAATGGAGAAGGATCAGGAAGAGGAGGTAGTTAAACCGAGAAGAAAGGTTGATTCTCAAAGAATGATACATCCATGGAGACATAGTACTTGCATGAAGTAGGATCATAGCAATGGTAACCCTTTTGAGATAACGGATAACTAAGAAAAACACAAGTTGTGGCACGGGGATCGAGTTTACTACAAGTAGGAGACAAGTCATGAACGAAACAACGACACCCAAAGACACACATTGGGCTTGGGTTTTGTGCTCAGGCCCGGCATGAGCCCGGGCCCACATCAGGCCCGTAAATTTTAGGGCCAGGCATGGGCTTAATACTTCAAGCCCGGCCCGCATATATTTTAAACTTACACATTTTGTGTATAATGTATACATATGTATACATGTTATTTTACATTATATTATATATTTTATATATAAATATTATAACATGACACGTATAATTTATATTATATGTAATATTTTATATTATATAATGTATAAAATAAGTTTATATGCATGTTATGTCATTTAATATATTGATATGTAATGTTTTATATATGAGTGACATTGGCCCGGAATCAGGCCCAGCCCGGCCCGGGCCCGTATAGACCTGAGCTAAGGCTTATGTTTTAGGCCCGGAACCCTAGGCCGGGCCGGGCCCGGGCCTAAGCTATAGCCTTTATCATAAGTGCAAAGCCCGGCCCATGATCACCCCTACCTTATACTCTAGTAGTCGAGATGGCATATGGTTGATGATATATGCAACACACATAACAACATCCATCCAAAAGCATTTTGGAACATTTATATGAGGTAGTAAACCACGAGCTACTTCAAGTAGATGATGATTTTTCCTTTCAGCAACACCGTTTTGTTGAGGTGTCCTGGCACAAGAGCTTCGATGAAGGGATCCACAAGAAGCAAAGAACTTCGTGAGATCACTATGGAAGTACTCTCTTTTGCATTGTCCAATTGGAAATGTTTCAGTTTGGAATTGAGTGAAAACCATTCGTTGAAAGTCTTTCACAATCTTTGGCACTTCATCTCTAAATCACATAGGATAAACCCAAGTATATCTAGAGTAGTCATCAATCAAAGTAATGAAATATTTATATCCAGCATTAGTAGGTAGAGAAATAGGGCCCCAAACATCAGAATAGACAATATGAAAAGGAAATTCAGATCTTTTATTTCTTAAAGGAAAAGAATTTCTACACTGCTTGCTCAATTGACACGTCTGACACTACAATTTACTAACTGACAAAGACTTAAACAACTCAGGAAACATAAGTTTTAAAGACTCAAACGAAATATGACCAAGACGGTTATGCCACAAGTAGGCATGACTTTCACTAGAAGAACTTAAGGACTCTGTAGTCACAAGACCAGCTTTATTCTCCAACATGTAGAGGCCATCCACCATGCTTCCTCTACCAACCGTTTCCCTTAAGGTCAAATCCTGAAACACACATGAAGAAGGAAAGGTCACTGAACAATTCAAGGAATAAGTAATACTGCTAATGGAAAGTAAATTGATAGGTAATTTAGGAACATACAACACATTAGAGAGGGTAAGACCAAGAGGAAGGGAGATGGTTCCTTGACCGGTTTTGGTGGAAAAAGATCCATCAGCCAGTCTCACCTTACCTCTCCCAAAGAGGAAGTTATATGCCTGAAATAAATTTGACTTATCAGTCATGTGGTTTGAGGCTCCAGAGTCAATTATCAAAGGGGAATCAGATGTATGTGATGACACATTGAAAGCAGTGGCAGTGTTACCTGATGTAGTCGCAAAGGAAGTAGAAGGAGTAGGGCCAGAATCCATTTGGCGAAGTGTCCTACCATATAATTCCAAGTGGTCACAAAAGGGGTTGATGATCTCTTCCTTGGGGTCAGAACTAGAGTGTCGCTCCTGGGGTACCATGGGACTAGTCTCTTGAGATGCCACATTTGCTAAGTTATATATATATTTTTTACTCTACTGGGTTGGCTTCTTACTCGGATCAGACTTCTTACTCAATTCCTAAGCCCATTTAGGTTTGCCATGAAGATCCCAACATGTGTCTCTAGTGTGCCTGGACTTTTGACAGTGAGTGTACCAAAGTTTATCTTTGTCATCCACTCTCTTCTGTGAATCACCATTTTTAAAAGAACCTCCAACATTTGAACTTGTACCTCCTCGGGCAGCTAGTGCAATCAGTTCCCCTTCTATACAATTCATCACACTTCTACTCTCTTCAGATTGAACTAGGGCATAAACTTCTTGAAATGAAGGTAAGTTCTTACTTCCTAATATTTGTACCCTCATGGATTCATATGTAGGATTCAGCCTCAAAAGAAAAGCAAATACTCGTTGCTGGGAAACAAGTGATTTGTAGGCCTTTGCATCCTCATCACACTTTAAAAGTCTTCCTTACTTGTGGCAGCATGGAAACCAAGAACTATGACATCACCATACTATTTTTTTGGTCCTATCTGTCATGTTTAGCACTACCAGTCTTTGGTCCCTTGACTTTACCATTAATATACCCAATTTTTCTTCTAGCAGTAATATAAAGTTTAATTCCCCTAGACCATTCAAGATAGTTCAGTCCATCAAAGGGGATTACAAGCCATGGGGAAACTCATATCCATCCCCCCACTCGTTCCATTTTGACCTCCTGAAATTCCTGAAGTTGCAGAATTCTTAGAGGGCATGATTCAAACACTTTTCAGACCTTACACACACCTTATGATCCCTCCTATCACCAAAAAACAGTCCTAGAAACACACTAAGATGAAACCCACATTGCAATCTGGACACTATCTGACCACAAACCAGCATAGATTGTCCAAAAAAGGCAAGATTTTAGGTTGATCTCAGAGCTGAACTGACCTAACAGTCACACTCCACCAACTTCCAGATCACCCAAACACATCGACTGCTAGGAGGGGTCATAAACCAGTACGGTTACACCACAAGGGGTAAAAAGTCAAGTCATCCACGGCCTACAGATCTGTATTCTCAGATATGGGATCACACGATCCATAAAAAAGAGGTTCGAACCTCACAGCTTCTCAGAAGGCATTCAGCAGCCTGGATTCATATGGTTTTTTCTTGGTACACGACCAAGATAAAAGTAAAAAAAATTTAAAAAGATCTGTACCGGTCGTAGGTCTGTACTTTTGATCTCAGTTGAAGAAGACAGCAAGTTGAGGAAATGGAAACTTGTTCGATCTGCTCACAGGCCTAGCAGAACCACTCTGATACCATATTAACAGCGCCAAACAGAGTAGAGAGGAAGGAGAAGAGAAGAGAAAGAGAGGAGAGAGAGTTTTGGAGTCAACAACCATGACTGGCGGCGATAGTTTATATTAATATATATATAGGCCTATAGGGTGACCATGATTAAAGGGGAAAGGACCCTTATGCCCCTACTTAAGTTAGAGCACAAAAAACAAAGGAAAAAAACTACTTTAACTAGTCCAAACGGATCCTAACTCAGCAGAATACAAAACATAAGAAATAAAAATAGCATTCCAACAGTGAGAAAGAGAAACCTTAGGGAAGTAGAATCTGGAATTCTTCATTCTTTCAATTATTGTTTCCATTTATGTGAGCAATAATGTTTAAGACTTCAAACCATGGAACCTAGGGTCTTTCATTCTTCATCAATCATCCCATGAAGTCCTTATGGGATCAAGTTGCTTTTTTTTCCCAGTGAAATCCCATTGGCAGTCCTCTGAACAATGGAAAATTAGACCCTTTTTTCTTTCTTTTTCAGTAATGAAGCTTTAAAGAAATTAAAAATGTGCTTCGAAAATGGAGAAGGATATGGTGTTTCAACTTCACATTTGTGAAGTGAGGAGAAGAAAATTGCTAAATTGTATTGGATGTTCCTGTTAACCTCAATACTCATGCATAAAGTTTATTATGCAACATATTTCCTTCCTCTTTGTAGTTCCTTGCAATATCTTCCTGCACTGTTTTAATAAAGCTGTTGATCTAATTCCACATCAGATTAGCTTATAAAATTCTCTTACACCCTTCTTTCAAATTTTACTTTCCTGTTCCATATATTTCTTTTTGTCAATAAGAAGAATGCTGAGATACACGATACTATTACTTATTCTCTCCATATAGCTTTGATATTTGTTTTATTTTCTTTGGCAGTTGGGGTTAATAATTAGGGCAGCAACATCAGGTCATATTCCTCAAGTCAGCTTTATGATGGTAACTATGGGAAGCACTGCAACCTTGTTAATTGGATGGAGAGCTCTCTTATTAACTGTTCTACCTGGTGACAATAGCAAGAAGAATGATATGTACAAACAGGGGAGCCCCTTTGAATTGTTTGAGGTGAGAATTAATTATTTCTTCCAACTATCTCCTTATGTGTTATACTTGGATGACTAAGCCTTTGTAGTTCCACTAGTATAGGCTCCCTGAGCTTAAGAAGAATTAAAATAACTTTCAATTTTATGAAGTTTAAATTTATATCTTACATAGATGACAAATTGACTATAACTCTATGGCAGGATTCATTGAAGGAAAGTTTGCTTTTTTCCTTTTTCTTCCCTTTTATTGGAGTGTGTCCCCATGGGCTGAAGGCATCTGGTCCTTATATTTGGGGAGCTCTTAGCTACAACCAAGGATGAAAATGAAACCTTAGTATGTTTCAAGAAGTTTTGTTGGATTAAATAAAAGTAAAATAGATACATATAGATATTTTTATTTTTGGCATCTATGATTTTTAGAGGGTAAGGATATTGGGCTAAAGGTTAAGTTATAATAGGTGCAACAAGCAGAAATATGATTAAAAATTCAAAATGTTATGTATCCAAAACTTTGGCTGGAAATAAATGTTATAGTTTTACACAGTCAAAAACATTGACTATAAGAATTCCCAATTATACAGGTATATTCCTTTGATACCTGTACATACATAGTGTACCAATGTCAGACACGATACTTACCAAATACTCTATAGCATTGACACTTGTAAAATATGTAAAGTTGTATATCTTAAAAATTGTATTATAAAACTAGATATAAAAACATGACATTTAGCTTCAAACACTAGATACTTGTCAAATACTCTATATCATTGACACTTGGCAAGACATAAATCTTGAAATGACATTTAGCTTAAAAAACTAGATGTAAAAACATGATATAAGCAGGTCCATGATTTGACTGTCCAGTCAATGTTTCTTTGACAGTTTGACCAAGTCAACAGTTATTTGAAAGTAAGGGTTATAAGCACTTTTCTGAAGGTTAGGTATTTTTAGAATGATGGAGAACTCATGCTGGTCGAAAGTTCTTTGCCCAATCTCCCCATATATTTATCATTGTTGCATAGTCAAATTAATGTAGAAAAATGATTGGCAAAGCTACAACAGGACCAACTATTGGGGCAGGAGGAATTCATGTATAGGTACTTGGTAGACTAGGACATGGTGTGCTCTTCTATGGCAGGTGGAGGTTTAGGTCTTAGATCACCCTAGTTAGCATTTCTGCAATGGGGAAATGGTGGTAGCATTTCAATGAAGAGCTTATGTTTGTGGAAGGGATTACTGTAGCAAAATATGGAATCAGTAATATGCAGTCAGACCCTCGGAAATGTCACATGACAATAATCCCTCTTTTAACAAGGAAATCACACTTAAAGTAGGCAATGACTCGGGTGCGGTGTTGAAAAAGCTTGCCAATGAAACACCAAATGACCCCAAAAGTAATAATGAAAACGAGGGGGAATAACATAAAAGCCAAATATGTGCAAACATACTTGCAATGCATAAACGGAAGTGTTTTATCCAATCCCCGTTGATAAAGCACAGGATAAAAGCATGAGCAGAAACTTTCCAGTTTAAGGATCTTTGTATGCTGCCTTCTACTGAAATTTGAGGGCCCAAAAGTGGCCTACTAAAATTCCCCTACTTTTCTTTTTAGGCCCCATTTGTTTACTGGTAAATAAGCCTGGGAAAGTTGGTCATGGTAAAATCACCTTTACTTACCCTAGGTAAAACTTACCATTTCCCACCTGGGAGAAACTTTTATAAAACATAAGGGGACAACTTTGCCCATTTTAATACTAGCTTTTTATGGGTAAAAATGTCATTCTGTTACTTACCTGGGAACGAAAAGAACATGGGTAAGTGAATTTACCTAGGTAAGTGCACTTACCCAGGTAACTTACAAAGTTGTAAACGAACAAGGCCTTAGTTTTTGGGAATAGTTTGATGTGAACTGATTGATAGATGTAGGGGCAAGGAGATGTGACACTTCATCAGGGAAACCACAATGGTAAGCTTCCAATTTGAATTCCTTGTTTAAGTTGATGCCAAGGTTGACAAATGCCATAGTGTCCTTCCCACCTGATGCACTAAGAGAGCGGGGAATTGTTCTGGTCTCATCTTCTGTTGTAGTTTATTTTCTGGCTTGTGGATTGTGGACATGTTTCTAACTTTGTTGGTCCTATCAATTCAGGGCCTTTATTTCTTTCCTTGGTATTCAGTGCATTTGGTAATATGCTTATATTTCTCTTCCTTTCTTTTGGTGCAATAAAATTCTTGCTATATGTTAAAAAATGCCCTTCAGTTAATCTTTCTGAAGTCAGTGGGGAGAAATTCTATGTATTGGGCAATTACAATTCTGGGAGAACATATAGCAAAAATTTTATTGGGTATCCATCCTGATCCTAACATATTACCACTGGTATCGCACACCATTTTTTGCTTAGGAGGAACATCACATTTCACTTAAGGCTGAGTTTGGAAGGAGTACAAATGCAAATATGTAGAGTGCAAAACCTTATATTTTTGTATTATTTTGTATGTACTTACACTGTACATATTTGCATTTGCACTCTTTCCAAACTGAGCCTAAGTGATAACAGGTTGGGGATGGGACGGGTTTGGGAAATTGGGAGGAAAAACTAAATTGGTTTGGGATCATGGGTGCTTAGGCAGGTGTGGGAATGGGAAGGGCAATTTTCGTGGGTACCCTACCCATTGCCATCACTAAGCTCAATTTATTTTTTCTTTTTTAATAATTGTCCCAATAGATCGTTTCCCTTTCTACATACCATTTGAAAACAAGGGTGCGCCTCCTACTTTCTAAATTTCTGCCACTAAACCAATAAAAACCATTGGAAAACAGTAGGTCGTTTCCCTTTCTACCCGTTGCCATCCCTAATCTCAATTAATTTTTCTATTCTAGATTCGTCTGTGAAAAGTCTCAGATCAATAAAAATCAATTAAACCCACATCCTCTTTGTGTACATGCAGGTGTACACTTGTGTAATTTAGTCACCATTACAGCTACTGGGTACATGAAAAGAAAAAAAAAAGGTTCAATGATATATTTCTTTAAATTATAGGCAATTTCTATATTATACTTTTTCAGTGCCATAGCATGACTCTAAATTCTGTACTTCCAGTTCTTAGTTTATTGATCTATTTGGATTTCCTTATGAAGCTTAGTCCGTTTTGTCTATTATATAATGGAAATAGGTGATTGAGTTCACCATTTTTTTCTTCTTTTATTTTTTGTTACACACACCTGGTTGTTTGATAGTTTTTTTTTTCTATTATTAATATTATGGTAAAATCTTGGGCTGACAAGCATAAGAATGTGGGCTTGCTTAGGTCGTACAATGGCCATTTCGTGTCAAAAAAAAAGGCCAAATGGTAAGTTTGTATCCAGTCCACCCTTCCCTAGACCCCGGACGGCTGGGACCAACATTTGGTAGTGACCTTTTTTTATTGCTATTAGTAATTATTATTTGTTTCACAGAGGATGGAGAAAATTAAATATGTATGCACACTAATTCTGTCCCTGGGCAGTTGGACAATTTGGAATTATGGAAGGAATGTCCTAGACCTGCTCAATATAGGATATTCAGTTTTATATGCTTCTGCACTACTATACCACTGCAAAGTGCAAACCAAGTTGTTGATTATGATAATACTGAAAATTCTAGTTGTTGTTGTTGATGTTGCAGTTGCTTACATCGTTAGTACGAAGGTGGTGATAGTAGCCAATTCTCATGTGCTTGTATCCAACAGTTGATTTTCTCGTAAACAAGCACCCAACATGAATGAAAGTCCAAGTTTTGTAACATGTAGAAGGTAAATCACAACTCTTTTTGATTCATGTAAATTACAGCTTGATACTCGCATGAACATTTTGGGGCTATTTTCTAGTTTACAATTTAGAACATCTGCTGCTTGGTAAAAGGGGCAGCTATTTTCTGTCAGCTGTATGAATCCTTTTTCTCTATTTTACCATGTCGAAGAGCTAGCTGTTCATATTTATAGTAAACCCTTTGATTCCTATTGAAATTTTATTCATGTGAAGCATTTGAACGACTTGAGAGGAAGTGGTTTCGGTGAAGTGACGGGATTTAAGATTGGATTTGGATTTAAGGTTTAAATAATTAGGTTGGGTTCGTCGGATGTTGCTGGATATAATCTGAATCTGACCTTGACTACAGTTCTACTCCCAAGACATGCAGGAAGTTCTGAACTTACACCAACCCTACCCAATCAAGTGAATCAACTCATCAAGATAAAATTAGATTACAAAACTAAGTAGGAGTTGGTAGCAATATTAGGATTTTATGAACTTCAACCCCCTTGCTGGCATCACTGGTGGCGTATTGAATTATCTGTAGTGGTGTATATCGTTCTCTGAAGTGAAATGCCCCATTTTGTGAATATATTTTCCTCGGTCTCTGTAACTTTATTTCAAAAACGTTCGGCCCATCACCCCACACCACATGTTTCAGATCATTCACATAGCTTTAACTTGCCGAATGGGCAAGGATGAATAACATTGTATCATTTGGTTACAATGTTTTTGTTATGGGCTTCATTATTTTTAGAATGAAAAAATCGCCCTATAGGCTATAGCACAAAAATTAAGGTAGCTTGCAAGATAAAAAATAATCATGTCTCATTTTGCTCATTTTCATTCTTTAAAGAAACTCTATGTTGATGGTCGTAAATTGCTGGCCTAAGTCTACAAAAATCGTCATCATAGATGTTTATTAGAATTTATGTTAATGGACATTGATCATTGGCCATCTATAGGTTCATACCATCAGTTTCAAAGACTTAGGCTGGCAGTTTATGATTGTCAGAACAGAGTTTTTTTTTTTTTGAAGAATGAAAATGTGCAACATAGGTTATTTGTCAGTTTGAAAAGAATTCATTTTTTAGAAAAAAATGTTCAATTCATAACAATATTTTCTCATTCTGCCTATTTTTACTTACTCTTATTTATTTTAAAGTTTCATTTTGAATAAGAATGAAAAATAATGAGTGTTGAAGCAAATACAACCTTAATGACCGAAAATGGGTTTTTCCTCCTATCTCTTATTATTTGGCGTATTTAGTGACTCTGAATTTTCTATCCACGAGAACTCTGCCCATATCTACTCACAACACACTACCCCCATGAATTAGGAACATCTCCCCTGCATAATATCATGCATGAGGATGAGATGTTCTCCATGTGTAGCTGCAATGTTATGTGGGTAAACAGGGCAGAGTTTGTGTGGGCAGGAGATCCGGACTCTTGTTTAGTGGTGGGTTCCAAAAACAGAAACGCAAATTTGCTAGTGAGTTGATGTGTGCACTCGAAGGGATATAAAAGGTGGGGCCGTAGCGCTTTTTCCCCCGGCCAGTAGTAAATCGGTGATACTCTAATAAATACGAGCCGTTGTGACAAAATTTAGCCAGCCAATAGGTTAAAACTGAACTGGGATTTGTCACTTGTCAGGGAAGAAGTGGCACCAGCACCTCCTGGTCCTGGTGGCAGGGTCCGTTCATTCGGGACGTCTGGTTAATTAGGTTAGGTGAACAACACTCCATGAAAAAAGCAGTCAGTCTCTCTCAGTCGGGCCACAAACGACGGACACCACTCGTACATATTAACTGTGTTAAATAAAATATCCATCACATTTAATAGATTTATGGACTGTTAATGCCAATGAGATCGGCTTCCATCAGGGCAAACCTGTGCCCACACCGATCTAACAGCTTTTCCCAACCTTGCATTGAGAATATCTGCCCATGAAATAATACGGAGATATTCTCAATGCAAAAAAGTAAAGGCTGCTCGGATGGGCTATTGCCCTGACTGAAGCCGAACTCAATGCCAATATGGATGTGAACCCATTTGCACATTAACACAACAGGGTAATAGGGTTCTGAAAAAGAAAAATGCCAACCCGTATCCGACAAAACCCGTTCGAAAAGAGCCAGACTAAAGTGTCCCCTGCTCTGGTGTTAAATGTTAATCCCCAGCTATGAAGTGGGCTGCTCCTGCGGCTCTCGGCAGTTGAGCTCAAGATTCATCATTCCCCGGTTTTGCCATCTGTGCTTCTTGTTGAATTTGTTTCATGTCGCATTTATTTTCAAGTAAAATGATTCCAATTGAATAAATTTTGGTGAATGAAATAAATAAATAATGCTTCTTTCTTTTTGTTTGTTTGTATGTTTTTGCTTCTGTTGTAGGGAAACAAATGCAACGGGAAAATGCCAATGGATCACATAGCTGAGCTGTACCCTACCTATGTAGATACATATGTTAGCCCCACCTGAAGCCTGAAGGCACCACTGTCAGTCTCACTTGCTGGTCCTGCGTCTGAGCCCTGCCCCAATTCTCCAGTGGTCCCATGTTTGGACCCCATTCCCATTTGTTGGTCTTGGTCCACATGTAGATCCCACCAGTGGGGTTCTACTTCTATGTGGAGTTTGGATTTCGGATTTTCTCCTCGCATTCTCACTGAATCCTCCTCCCTCAGTTCACACCCATTATATCGGGAACATCTTCCATACTTGTGTATATTTTCATTTCTGGGGAAATGTTTTCAATCCACGGCTGCAAGTGGATGAAATCCGGATTCTTTTATGTATAGGTCTCAATTCATATATGGGCCTTGCCTCATAACCTAACAATTTTTATTTTTTTAAGCATATATAGAGGGCTGTCAATGGGCCGGATATATCCGATAGAACTGAATTGTACCGATCCAATAATATTGGAGACTGACTGGGTTTTGCTTTTGCATTACATGTCCCAGCTCTGGGTTTTCACGTGTTTATGAAATTACTCCATTACAATGCCTGTCTTTCTCATGGTGTCCTTGTTATTATTATCGTGTCCAAATTATTGGTTTAGTACCGGGTCTGCACTGAGCTAGACCAGACCCGACCCGACCCATTGTCATTGTAAGCGAAGGATGATAGTTTTCTTTTCAATTCGAGTAAAACTTTTCCAAGTTTTACACATTTTACTTTCTGAGTTGGAACTTGGAAGTGCCAAATCTTTACCTGGTTCATTACAACGAAATCGAAAGTGCTTAATGTCAAAAACAAAAACAGGTTATAGAAATTAAACAGAATTTTTGGTAGAAAACTGAAAAAGAAACAACTATAAGCGGGACAATCCGGCTAAGAATTCAGTCAACTAAACTTTTCACCTACCCAAAGAAAACAAAGAGAATAAATACAAAAGGCAAATCCGGCATCACCCTCCAAGTTTGCTCGGAAAGAAAAAAAGTAACAAATGAATAAAGAAAAGTAAGAAAGGAACACAATGGCCGTTTGATTTCAATAATGAAAAATAAAATTAATCAGAATCAGTTGGGTGGCAATCCTTAGCGAGTCAAAAAAAAAAAAAAAAAAAGGAGAAAGAAATGCTGAGTCGTTGTACTCTTAATTCCCCAGTACAATTAAACAAACATCTCTCTCTTTCTGCCTATGCCTCTCAGAAAAGCAAAAGTGAAAGAAAAAAGGCAGATGAATTATTTTACAGGCATTGTTAGCAGACATTAAAGGAAGGCACCTCTGGGGATTGGGAAACTTAAAAAAAAATTGTTGGGAAAGAAACACCAGCAATGTCCAATCCCTATTGATATTCGAATTTACCAAAATTTCTTTACATTCTCTTTTCCCCTTCAATCTTCTAAATAACTGAAGAGTCCCGATTTTAGGAATGCTAGGTGTTTGGTGAATGGTGAGGGATGCTTTTGTAGGGGTTGCTCACTCTCTGCTTATTCCTTCTTTCTATCTCTCTTGGATTCTTCCTCTATTTGTAATATAAAAAGAAAATCTAGTGGGATATTCAGTCCCCTTGACGCCTACAATACCAAATTGCTCCTACTTGTTCCATCTTACAAATGTGACAGGGAAAATGAAACAAGACAAAGAAAGCCCTAGATATCCAATTGACCAAAAGTAGCTCTAGAGAGATGGAGATAGAGGTAGATGAAGTCTAAGGTGATAATGACACAGTAGCCCTAGGTTGTGACGTTTCATTCACTGGTTGATGGAGAGAAGGAGAGAGGATTTGCAGAAAACCTGCAGGGAAGGAGGCTTTAATGGCGGGCCACTTTAATGGTAACTGACGGTCGGTTAATGGTAAATTTACATCTACGGCTGGGGGTGGGGAGTAATTGACAATGACCAAGCAATCGCCAGTCCTTAAGTCCTCCTCCTACTGATTTGATTTCCACTATTGCTCTTTAAATGGGCCTAACCACACTCTCTCTCTTTTTAACTTTTAATTTAGCTGCTAAAGTCTATGGATTGGATGGAGTCGGTCCAAAGGTTGCACAGATCAGCATCAGCCTAGGTGGAGATGTAAGTGAATTGTCACCATCCATACTCCATTGGGCCCACATGTATCACCAAATACGACCTAGTACTAAATACCCAGTGGTCGTATTTTGCCAACACGACAAAAATGGTTGCCCTTGCCCTATTTTGTTTTTTGCTTTTTGCAATACTGCTCTGCTCGATGAAACCGGATTTGCTACTCAGAAAAAGTACGCCTCACACCAACCTTACAAGATATTGCAGCCGTGCGTTAACAACATCTTCCCTTGAATGATAAAATCTATTATGGGAGATGTTCACATTCACAATGCACGACTGAAAGCTCAAAACTTTGTGAGGTTGGTGTGAGGCGCTCCCTACTAAGAAGAAAATCAGACTCCCTGCTAATACGAGACTGGATCTATTCCTCACAAAGGGCGTCTCATACCGACTTTACGCACACATCCTACCATGCATTGGGAACATTTCCCGTACTTATAAGTTATTATTCGTGAGAGATATTCCAAATGCATGGTGGATGTGTCTGTGATGAGTGAGGAGCAGATCCTGTTCCTACTAATACATGTATTTATGGCCAACTTCTCATCATGTAATTTTTATTACATTGAAATAAGAATTCGGGTCATTTCATAACATTACAAGTGATTGAAAAGTTCATTATTTTATCTTTAAATGACTGAGGTGGCATTTGATAAATCTGAAATTTAAAATTTGAA